AATCAGTAATGCAATCAAAATAGTAAAAAAAAGTAGTTAGGGCTGGGTAGGGGTTAAGGGTGTTGTGATTGGGATTAGGGTTTTTCCCCTAGAAATGAATGGAAGGTCCCTATTATGATGGGTACGCCAACATGTGTATGTGTGTGTGTGTGTGTGTGTGTGTGTGTGTGTGTGTGTGTGTGTCAGTCAGTGTGTTCCTTGCTGTTTCTAACTATCTATGTTGGCACATAAAGAGGTTCACAGTGTAGTTCCGGAATCCATACTAACATCTGCATTTTGTCTGACGTGATCGTTAAACCACAGGCACTGATGAGTCGATGTTCTTCTATCCTGCCTTTTGCCGGTCAGCAGCCTCAGTGTCGAAACCGCTCATCTCTCTTTGTGTAAACACCACGCAATTCACTTTGAACCTTTGTCCGGTTAAACAGATCTCCTTTGTTTCTGCGCGTGACTAACCCAGACTAACAGTTCCTGTATCTCTCTCTCTCTCTCTCTCTCCCCTTCTCCGCTTTTCATTACTCTTGCTAGCTTACATGGATAGCCCTCAAGGTAATGACTCCAGTGGATTTTATTTTTTTCTTGCCTCCAAATGCAGGCTGGGGGCGAAACCCCCACCCATCCTGTTACAGACCCACACACCCGCAGAAATGTGTACATTTGCAGAAAGTCTCAGTTGTGTCGTACAGAGTAGGAGATCAGCATGCCAGCAGATTTACGGGGATCTCCTGCCTCGACGTTAAAAAGAAAACAGTGTCGTGTGGATTTTTCTGTCTACCCCCTCCACCACCCCATCCCCCCCGTATGAGTGTGTGCATGTAATTATGTGGAACTCTCTCTGAGGTCTATGAGTACTCAAACAAACACAACCACCGCCCACTGCTTCCCTCCAGTACGCCCTCTACAAGAAGATGACGCAGGCGGCCATCTTGATTCAGAGCAAATTCCGCAGCTACTACGAGCAGAAGAAGTTCCAGCAGTCGCGGCGGGCGGCCGTGCTCATCCAGCAGTACTACCGCAGCTACAAGGGGTACGAGCGGCTCAAGCAGGCTCACCGGGGGGCCGGCCCGCTCAACGCCAAGATCAGGTACGTCAGTGAGCCGTTTCCTCATCATACGGCTCGCAGAGCCACGTGGGAACTGTCGCCCCCTAGGGGCGGATTAATGCATAGGCCATCCAAGGCTGTAGCCCAGAGCCCAACCTTCAGAAAATTGGAGGAGATAGTTAAATCAGCAACACCTGAGTGTCCATGCTGATGTCAGCCTAGGGAACCTGGATATGTCAATCCTACCCGGGTCGCCCAGCACCACAGGGTTCTGGGTGTGTCACCCCAGGGATTCTGAACCTAAACCATTCCCAGAAAATTTCAGTTTTCTGGAAAATGACCCATCAAACGAGCATTTTCACAATGGGGTCCAAGGAAAAGTGTGTAGAGGCGTGTGTGCTGTCTGTACCTGAGGTTAGACTAGCGTGACACCACCCCCTTCCCCCTGCTGTGCGTGAGAGGTACCCCCCCCCGCCACCATCAAATCAGAGACAAGACTTTGGTTTGTACAACCACAGGGGGTCATTCCTGACGAAGAAGCAGGACCAGGCGGCCCGCAAGATCATGAGGTTTCTTCGTCGCTGCCGGCACAGGTAACCCCTCCCTTCTTGATTCCAGCCGTCTTAGCTACCCTGCCCCCCCCCAACATTTCTGGTAATTTACCCTCCCCCCCCCCCCAAAAAAAAAAAAAAAAAAAAACATGCAGGATCAAGGAGCTGAAGCAGAGCAGAGAGCTGGAGAGGCTGCAGAAGCGAGGCCTGGCCTCTTGATGGCGCTGTTTCACACCTCTGCGGTCGCTCCTCATGTATGGTGGGGTTGTGGGCTGGGGGGAGGGGGGGCATGGCTGCAAATTTTCATACAGACGTTTTGCTTCCTGGGCAAACACACTCACGCACAAGTTCCCTCGTGTCATGGAGTCCACCCATGCTTCCTCCTTCCTGTGCGACCCCCCCCCCCCGCCACCCACATGATTCACTGGGACGGCTGCCGCCATCCTGTCCCTCTCGCTTCCCTCTTTCTCTTCCCCGTTGTCATCCTCTGCCTCTTCATTTCTTGAGAAGGAGAAAGGAGGAGGCCAAAGGGGGGGTGGAGGGAAACATCTGCCTTATTTTCTTTTAATCTTTCTGCCCCGAACAGAAGGAGTTTACGCGATTGGGTCATTTCTTCACTTCAGGCGATTTTTTCTTTTTAAATGTTTATCTTTCCTTTCGCAAAGCAAGAAAAATGCTTTTTTCAGAATGTATTGTACTGTTGTGGTATTCTTACAGACTATATATACAAAAATATATTACATTGTTAATGTCTAACATTCTTATTTATTGGATATATACCTTTTTTGAGGCATGTTTTTATATTACTGTACCTTCAGATGGGGAAAAAATAACTTTATGAAATGACTGAAGAATCGACTCTCTTAACTTGAACCTGTGACGCACCGACAGATATTACAAGTCATAAAGTCTTAATCCAGAGAGGTTTTCAATGTTTACTCTGCCTTTTTGTGCACCCCCAAAAGTTACAAATTAACGCGTTCGTTTTTAGACTTGGACCAATGCCAGATTTAGCAGGAGACTGTACCATTTGAGGCTGGGGGGGGGGGGGGAGAGGTTGATGGGAGCTGAAATGAACTGATGAGGTCCCGAGGGTCTGCCAGTGACGTCAGTATGGGAGACAGTAGAGCCATTACTGTCACGCCAGTTGTATTTTTACTTTTTTTTTATTTCGATTTTCGAAGCGTAATCGACTGTCATGTGTGAAGGCCAAACGTGGAGATCCGAGAGACACTCATACAGGCGTCATGAGATGTGACCTTTGTGTGGCTAAGTGCTGGATTTGTGCATCCGCTGCCGCTGGTCTGATTGGTCCAAAAAGCGTCGGTTCCTCGCTCACCCGCTCGGTTTGGTTTGGACCTGTTTATGCTCTACAGTCGTTTCTAACAGATGACTGCACGATAGCACCACAGGCTACCTGTACTTATTCCTCAATGTGCTATTTTTATTTATTTTATTATTTTTTTAAATTCATTAAGTGCTCGATTATGGATGCTGCAGGCGAACGTGCAACCTGGCTCAGTATGAGAAGGACTTGAGATTGCACACGCAGCGCTGTTTTGGTACGTGTGTGTGTGCCTGCGTTGTTACCCGTGCATGTGCCTGTTTATGACGACTTGTAGGTTGACTCTTCCGTCGGGCTGCAGTTTGTGTTCAGGTATTGGTGATGGATAGTAGGGAGGGGGGGGGGGGGGGGTGTCAGGCTGACAAACGTGACAATCCACATAGGCCTGGTTATGGGAAGAAGAGGAGATCCGCATGCGGATGAACGGAATCCGATAATCGGTGCTCTGATCCCTGGAGAGATGATTCGGTTGAAGGGGTTAAAAGGGGAATATGGATTGTCAAGTTTGTGCAACTGAGAAAATTACAGTAACGTGCCTTTATGCTAAGGGAAGAAGCAATGTCAAGTCAGATTTAGAGCGGGAAAGGGTTTGTATTTCCCTGAAAAGGAAGCCTACAAACACGCAGATGTGGCCTACAGTCTTACCCACGTTTATAGGCTACATTCAGCGATTGGTTCTGACTGGGGGTGTCGCATATCAGTTGGTGATTGTGTTGACCAGGGAGGGTCTCCTTTCTCCATCCCTGTCCGCCCAGTAGTCCACTATGGGAGATCTGGTGAGGTATTCTTGAGCAGCAGATATGTTAACGACAGACACTAACACAATGTCCTTAATTTCATCGTTTGTTTTTATTATTTTTAACTGCTAGCCTATTTCACGGAGCCAGTTATAAGTTGTATTGCTGAAAAAGTTTCAGGTAATAACAAAGAACTTGTATATGTGATGTATGTACAAAATGATATTTTACTCATTTTAAATGTGCAGTGCCTTAAATTCTTATTTTGGTAGCTGCAGAATCTTACTCGGTAGAAATGTCATATATGAGCGTATGATGCAATGTTTTTACGTGTCAAACCAAGACACCGCGTGCAGGACAGTTCCTATACGGTATATTCCTGTTTTAAAGGGAATTCGGATCCAGCATCGTATAAGGACTTTAGGTGTTTTGTCCCGGTCCTTCAGACGCGGTGGGAAAGCTGATAGCTGATGGTGAGTCGAGTAATCGTAATGATTTTGCTCCAGGGGAATCCATTTAATGCACATTCGGTTTGCGTCAGGGTTCCGGTGTGGTCTTGAACTAAAGTTTACGCCGCGAGAGTTCGCTAGGCACTGCACTTTTAAAAGAAGCCAATAAAATCCACGGAAACAAATATTTCTCAAAAACAATTACTTTTTTAACACTAACAATCAGTCTAGGACTTAGCTCGAGGAGGACTGAATTTAATAATTATGCATTAGTCTGTAAATAATGTAAAATACGAGACAGCTGAGAATATATTTAAAAAATAACGAGCTTTCTGGATTAATGTGGAGAAAATATTATTCCGCATTTGAAATATACTGGTGTCTATGATGGAATTGCATGTTCATATCCAATTTTATTTTAAAGTTTGTTTTTTTCTGTCCCCCTCTGTTTTTAAAGACCGCGTGATCAGTGGCTACGGCTTTGTTATTTAAATTGCTCTGCATGAGTTTCAATCTTCTGCATCACTTACAAAATATTACGTATGTGACGTGTCCACGTCATTCACTACTGGTGTTTAAACGCTTATTTATATATAAAGTCATTTAAGATTTTTTTTTCCTCCTGTGCTGTAAATGTTTTTATTTTCTTGATTTTCGGATCTGTTAATATTTCTTAAGAATGAAAATAAAATGAACATTGAAACACCCATGTGTCGCGATTTGTATTGCTTTGTAGCCTATACATTTTAATTTAATATCATCACCCTCATTGTGCTTGTGTGGTGAAAGTAAACATGGAAAATGGGTCAACGTTAGCGGAAAGAAATTTCAGTGATTGGTTAGTTTCTTTGTTGATTATTGGTTGCTTATTTTCCTTTATACAATGAATGTTAAAACTTTGATTGTCCACAGTATTTGGTATTTTCACCCAAGACTGTCTAGACATTCCTGCTTTAAATGCTTAAGGAAACCGAGTTTAAATCGATTGAGCCTAAGTAAATTCTCGGGGGAAAATGTTATATGTGATTAGATTAATATTCGTAATATTGCAAATTAGGTGGTTTCGAGGTGCTGCTCTCACTACAAATACAAATGCAGAGATTTGATTTCTACTGGTGCTTCATACATACTCTGAATGTATTCATTCTGGGCAGTTTTCCGCCGGCCATGCAGAGCTGACATTTAAGCCTTGCCAGCTGGTTCCAGTTAGTCACTGAATTACAGTAGCGTCTCTCCAAAAGAAACGCTTCATAGGCAAAACATTTCAGCCGCCCCCCGCCTCCCTATGCAATCTTACAAAAAAAAAAAAATTGCGAAAGTTAAATGTAGGCTATTCGTTTATTAAGAGGGGACGGAGGGCAAAATAAAAGTCCTACGATCGCCATTTCGGTTTGTGCTCTGTCGCATCCCTTTATGTGCGGTCCGAGGAAAGGGGTCATGGCGCCCCCTGATTCGCCACGTTTACCGGGCACATTTACGCCATGGGCCGCCTGGGTGGCCGCCACCTGCACCTGCCTTGGTCTGCTTCTCTTACAATGCGCCCACATCCGGGAACTTCGGCTGGAGCTGTGGGAGCTGCAGCACCGCGTCGGGTCTCTGTGTGGCGAGGATGCGGGCGCGCCGCCGCGCTGCGCCCTAGGTGAGTGCCCGGGTACGGCGGCGCCGTGTGCCGGCAGCAAGCCGCCGCGCCTCCCCGCTGTTTCGCTTCCGATCTCTATTACTGAAAATAACATTTCCCTTTGAGTAACAATACTTATCTCTTTTACAAATTAGCCGATGCTGCAGTTCACGCACAACCACGCGCTACTCGCCATATCGATAATGCGTGCAGATTTTTCAACAAAATGCCCTGGCAGCGTATTTTATAGGGATAAACCTCGACTTACAATAGATGGAAAATACCACGTGTACAGTGCATGTAAGCCTATGCAGGTAATGCATTATATCGGTAATGTCAAGAACAGGCCTACGTTTCATTTATTCATTTGTTTTGAAAAATACGAATAGTATCGACAAATGGGGATATTAACATTAGTTAGGCTACATGCCTACAATATTGCAATGACCATTATACTGCACATCATAGGATCGATTCTTTAGTATGTACCTATTTTGTATATCAGATTTTTTTTTAAGTCTTACCGCGAGATACTGTTACTCCTTCCCAATTCATCACAGTTGCAAGTGATTTATAAGTTGTGGGGTGAGTCTATTGGACGAATCTTGATTTGCCTCTTAAATGCCCACGGGACAGACCCGAGCAGATGCCAGTGCCCAGTTCTTGGTCAGGATGCCAGCCGGACAAAGAGAGACCTTACCTCTAAAACACCGCGTAAGCAGCGCCAGGTGGGACAAAGTAAGTGACCCCCCCCCCCCCCTTCCACGCACCTGGTGTTTCGCTCATGGGCGTCGCCGTCATTAAATCTGAGGGGGAGGTGTCCCCCTCACATTTTATAATTATTCCTTTGGACCCCCCCACATTTAACATAAAATATTAGTTTTATGCCAGTGTGTCCCACCCCATTCAAAATGCTTCTGACGCCCCTGGTTTCGCTGCTATGACATAAACCAAAATGTGTCGGCAATGCACATATACTAACGCTTTACGATGACGCTCATGTTTGGCTCCGGCCGTGATCATTATTAAAGGCATTAGAGTTAAGCTTCAAGACTGATATCTCTGTGGTAAATCCTCAATGCTAAAGCAGACACAATAACATTGTTTTTTTTGTAACTTAAGTCCCCGTCCTGGGAAAATCGCTTGTTTGTCAACATTACGTTTTGTTTTAAGGGCGGCGTGCGTTTCTGCACCTTCATCCTGTCTCGACCCATTCCTATGGCAAGTCTGAATCCAATTTTTCTGTTTAGATTTCGTTTCCCTCGCTACAGCTCATTTAGACCTCTCCTTCTTGGAATGCCTCACAATGCTGTCCTATTTTAGACTTCCCGTTAAATGCATGTTCCCCCCCCCCCTTCCCTATCGGATTTCTCTCCTAACGTAATTTCCTTTGTATTTTTTCCTTGTATGGTGCTGCTTCACCCAGGGTCACCCGTACTCGTATCTTACATTTAAGAAATGGTGGCTATTTAGAGCTGAGACTAGCCAAACCGCATGTGGGTGTTAGTGATTGACGTGGCTGCCACACGTCCGTGCCCATCTCGCTGTCCTCTTCTCTTACCTTTTCTCTGTCAGACGAAGATGACAAGACGCTGGTGAAATGGATTGTGGGACAGAGTCAAGGTGAGGGACTGCAGGTATCTGGGGAAACCGTTACCGTGACGAGAGGAGGGCTTTACTTCATCTACAGTCAGGTAGATAAACAGAAAAGTTGACGGATTAAAATAAAATGCATAATTCATTTCTGGAGTTTCGTTTTGAATTATGTTTTTTTTTTCTCTTATGAGAGAAAAAACAAACAAGCAACAAAACAAAAACAAGTACAAGAAATGTAAATATTTCGTGTGTCCTCGTTGAGGATTATTTGTTGTTGTACAAAGGTGAAAATGTTACTCGGATGGTAGGTCTTGTATGAGGACCCCACGTTCGTCATGGGCCACGTGATCAAGAAGTACCGCGAAAACAAGGAGAGCAGCTTGATGAAGTGCGTTAAGTGGATGCCCAGGAACAACAGCGAAGCGCTCAACACCTGCTACACTGCTGGTCAGTCCCAGCCACTTATATACAAGAGTGCTTTATTACCTCTGATTCTACTCAATTTTGATTGGTGGTCAAATTATTTATTTATTATTTTAATTGAATAATAATTGAACACTCTGACCCCGCCCACCATGGGTAGATCATACCATTTCACCCACTCCCCTATTTACCCACTCCACTACAGGTGGCCACAATCTGGAGTCGGGCTCCGTCCTGGAGCTCTCAATTCCCCGAAAGGATGCAGGTATTGGCCTCCTTCCCCACGCCACCTTCCTGGGCATCTACAAGATCTGATCTGTGTGCGAGGCATAAGTGGCCTGTGGGGGGCGCCACTTGGACCACCCACTTTGACCTATGGGACAAAGCCATAAGCTAAACCAAAAAAATAACCAAAGAGCCAGCAGATTTTTTTTTTTGTCACATGAAGACAGTTTTCTGATATGAAAAATGTTTGATACATTCAGATGACACTGTTTTCTGGCCGCGTGCTTTGGCACAAACCTTTCTCTTTAAGAAACGAGCGCGTTAGGCTCAAATATAACACACCTGCTGAAACTTCTAGATGAACCACTGAAGCCTGACGGGGTGGGATTTTTGGGGGGACTGAGGGACCTTCAAATGAGAAAATTTATTTGGCGATGTTTTTCACACCCTTAGTGAATGCATATTAAAATCATTATTCATGCTGAGTGCCGTCATACTTACTAAGTGCTATAAAACCCATCAAAATTCATCCGCACAGCACCCATTTATACATTTTTATTACTTTAGGTCTGTCCTTTATTTATGAAACAATATCCATAATAAAGTTTTCTCTCATCATGCAAAAACGTAACTTCCTTTTTCTTTATTTTACACACTGAAATGTGGATTTTTCTGGTTCCCAATAGATAGCTGGCTGAGTCTCATTTAAATATATGTCGAAGATGTGGATCACGGTGCATCAATCATTACTGACAGAAAGGAGAACTTTCAAAGTAAAATAGGCCTACCACTGACAAGCAAAAAGCGCCCTCTAGTGTGGGGAAGAAGCAGTTTTTTAAATCGTGCTCTGAGTTATATCACGTGGTCTCTGGTAACGCTTGGCTGCGGCTAAAATTCTTTCTATTGCTTTGACCTTGCTTTTAGTGTAAAGATAGGTGTTAAATGAAAATTGCCTCAAACCCATTGTGAACAACTCATTTACACGAACTTGGTGTCACTTAAAATATATGAGCTCTGCTTTTCATCATTTTCAACCCCCCGCCCGAAAAATCCTGATTAATTCCTGTTCGGGAAGTTGCATGGTCTATCTGACTTTTAGAAGCACTCCTGTATGGTGATATTTACTTTTTTTAAACCGCGTTTTTACATATTCTGCTTTTCATTACCCGTTTTCCCATGAAACTCCGGTCCCATGAAATGTTTGCTCTGCTTCGTGTGGCGATATTATGTCATAAACACTCAGAGGAACTATAATTAAATTAAATACGAGTTATTTATTGTCAGTCCACACAACATTATTCAGGCAGGTATTTTTGGGCAAGACCGTGCCGGGCCAAATCAAGTAAGCGAATAAAGAACAAACGCAATACTTCATAGGGACCTATACGATCGTTACGCCCATACACTAATTGCGATTGCGAAACGGTTTATTAATCTGAAAGTTAATTTTATTTCTATGCCATTAAAAACATCCCTATCTGCTAAAATGTGAACAATTTAATCCTGTGTATTAGCTGTGTCTATTTAAAGCCCCGCCAACGCAATTTTCTACGTTAGCCTCTGGTTAATCCAACGGAACTAACATTTACAAATGATGGTGCATTTATTTAGTAAAAAAAATGCCCTGCGTTTGTTTAAATTCGTAGTGTTACCGTTGTTTTTTTTGTTTTTGACTTAACAAGTGGTAGCGAAAATCAAAACACTGCCCAGAAGCATGGATGACGGAAGTGACGAGGATGAAGCCTAAATGTTTCCCAGGGATGATCCAGCATGATAATAAACTTTTCCAGCTTTAAGTTTTTCGGGCTCCATTATCTACATATTATTACTCACATTATAGGCTACTAGGTGAAATGTAATTGCAAACTTCACGGCAGAATGAAAGAATTTAACTGGAAATGATTAAAAGCAAGAGGCATTTAAGAACTGCCAAATAGTAAATATTAGAAGTCATATTTTTTAAATATAGACGTACGGTAAATTGAAGTGCCAGATTAATTTATTTTTAAATTAACTTATGTATCATTGAGGGTCATAAATCAGATGTGTGACAGTTCATTGTTCTCATAAGTAAAGCAAAAGGACGACTTCTCCTCTTGTAGTGGTGCAAACAGGCGCGAGCCCCGGGGACTTCAAATGAAGTTCCTCTCTCACTCCTCCCACCTTCCTCGCTTTCTTGTGGGAAAGCGACTTCCCTTTCCCAGTGCTAATGATGGTCATACCTTGCAGTTCCCAGCTTGTTGCGTATCACAAGTGTTGTTCTGCAGCGTTGGCATCATCGCAGTGACATGTGTGCAGCAATCATACAAACGAGATGCTAAATTAAATCAATCACAAAGTTTTCCTTCACACTCTTTGAGGCTTTCTGCCTGGAATGGGTCCGAAATATAATGTACTTTGTACATTTTCTTAATAATTACACCCGTGGCTTCTGAGATCTCATGGGATCATCATGCTAGGGCATGTTGACTCAGTTCAGCAGCAGTGATTTCCGTTACACTGTATGCTGCGTTGAGTTCAATATATTTTTGGTCACGCTTCTTGATTTCCGTGTGATGTTCGCTTTTCTGGACGTCCGTCTCGCTACGTGCTGCAGTCGCGGTTCCTGCGATCGGAGGGGCAAAGGTCGCACGAATAGCTTCTTCCGTCAGCTTTACGTAACCTTTATTGTGAGGCTTTATTGTGAGGTGGGTCGCGGCTGTTTGTAGGGCGCCGATAAGGATCGCGATGCCGAGGGACATGCCGGGTGGGGTTTCCACGGTGGTCCTCGCTCTCCTTTGTCCGGCGTGGGGGAAGGGATGGGGAGGGGGTTGGAGAAGTAGGGCATAGGCCATCCTGCTTCGCTTCAACTCATTATTTTGGAGAGCAGGACTGGCGTGGGGTGGGAGAGGGCAGCCAAGAGCAGATATCGAAGGAGAGGGAGAACTCTGCTTACAGCCTGTAACAGATGCTCTCATTCAGAGTGTTGCACACTGTCAGACGTGCCTGTGAAAATGACATTGGAAGGTATTCAGGTCGACTGCTAACAAATATGAGTAATTAGAGGCTCTGTAGTGATCGGAAAAAAACCGCAAAGATATATCGGCGGAGGGGCTACGTCTCGGTTCTGCGCTAAGGGTCCTTTACGCCTCCGTTTTTCCGTCTTAGAAGACGTTATTATGGGCTGAAACGCACAAGCCAGGTGCAGATCGGAGAGACCTAAACGAGAGAGGCAGGGGAGATAGGGGGTGATGATGGGACCGGATCTGTGCGGCAGAATCTAGCTGTGAGTGACATTTACATCCGTCCACACCGAGATGTGTAGCTTTTTCAGATTTACATTTGGTAAATGTCACGCGTTTTTACCGACATAACTAAAGCCGAGTACCCCGCAACGGGGCACCCCCTCCCCCTCCCGCGCCAAATAAAAAAAGCTCTTGAACGGCTAGGCTGCTCGCACCTTTCAATCTTGAGTGCTAAGTGGAAATAGAAATGAAGAGGAGTGAGATTGTGTTTGTGTTTTTTGGGGGGGGAGGGGTGCATGCATTGTCTTATGGGTGCCCAGGCAGCACCTGTGACGCAATGCAACACTCGTAGTCAGGAACACATGGATACTGCACGGCTCCAAGTCCTGACCCCTGCCCGCTTTCCCACCAGAGCTGACGCTGTTGCCAGGGTCGTTCATGACCGATGACTCAGCAGAACGGAACACAAATTGGGGGGGGGGCGAGGGTCCGTGCACCAAGCACATTCATCACTCTTAACAGTCAAACAGCTCTGTGTCCACACAGAGACATTCAGCCACAACCGCCTTCATACAAAAGCCACTGCCGGAGTAAGCTTTTTCTTTGTGATTTAGAAAAAGATTTTCCACCGCGTGAGACGGGTGAACTATTGAAGTTAATCTCGGGGAACAAGTAACGTAAGCGCAGATAAAGCGGCACTAAAAGTAAATACAAATAAATCCATCATAATGTAACTGCGAGTTACTGGGCCTTGTCCATGAAAAGCTCACTGCTGTAAGAAGGATAAACCATTACGCAAGCACTCTGTCCGAAGCGGTTATTTTTTTTTTTACCTGGGTGTGAAAATAAGACGACAAGAGTTTATATGTTTATGTAAGGCTTAATATTTTCGACTCTGTTGAAATGGTAAATGTGACTGAACAGACCTATTACAGATAATTAATGCACGGATCGGCACCACGGCGTGATGTTTTGACTGCGGCTGTCAGAACGTTTGTTAGCCGCAAAATTATCGGACTAATTACAGTCTATCACACGCTTAATATCCATTATGTGGCGCTGGTAGGAATGAAGCAATTCCAGAGTTTGAACACTAGAGTGTGCTGTAGATCCAGGTCTGCGTTACCGGGCGAATCCATTCTCAGCCGGGTGCATTTAACTATCGCGGACTTGACCGAAAAATATTATTTTTTCCATCTGGAAAAAAAGCTATATACCTTGTGCTCAAGGGCAAGGGAAAGTGAACCAGCGATGTTTTAGGTACGAATCCAGCTCTTTCTGCACCACACTGCTTCACTGCTTGCTGCCCATAGATGCATTTTATTTATGGTTGAGTGTTCGTGGTAGGAGGGTGGAGAGGTCACACGATGCCCCCCCGTGCCCGGTGGAGACTGGGAGGGCTGCCGTTGAAATGAAGTGGTCTCCACTCGTGGTTTTGAAGAACCCAAATCAGTTTGATTTTCTTTGCTGTCTCTTCGACAGATGATGAACTGCCTCTGTTCCCTAAGCAATAACGAGGAGATAAACTAGGTTTCTAAACCCATTGTGGTAGCCACCACTGGGCGCCATTAGTACCTGTTTAGTTTAACTCAATGAGAACGAGTGGTAACTGGGCCAAACCAGGCGTAGCGGAGAGTGCTTGGAGTCTGACCCAGAATTGGTTTTGAAGCATTTCCCTCATTACGTCGCATCATTACCCTAACTGGAGTAATCACTGTGCTCTGGGCGGATTATACAGTTACTCGCGCCTACTTCACGCTCGTTATTTTAATGGATTATGTCCGTCGTTTCTGAATGACTGAATGACCGTCCGTGAGCCACAGGTGGTCCGTAATACTGGCGTAAAAACGGGCGATCGCGGGTATCCCGTGAGTCCGGGTACCGAGGCTGCCGAGTTCCCTCCGAGCGAGGCTGATCCTCGGATCACGCAGTCCCCGAGGGGCGCGTGCCGTGGCGCCTTTGATCTCGACACCCCCCCCCATGTTTATCGACACCAGTGCTACATTTATTATGCCTACGTATTTTTCCTTGGAGGGGTGCGTTAATTTGCACCCCCCACCGCCAAAAAAAAACAAGGGAATTTTTCTTTTTGACTCTCTCGGCTTAGACCAGTCCCGAGAAGTGGGTCTCGAGTGCGTTATGCGTGTGTGGGTGGGATACTCGGCGTTTCTGCATGCGTGGTCTTTTTCCAGGCCAGCACGGTTCATGTTTAGAGCACATAAAAGAAAAAAACTACCTTGATTTGCTGTTGATAAGAACAGGCATCTCCGGTAACGAACAGTAGTAGTAATTACTGTCCGTGATAGTACAATGCGAAACTCTGCCTCTGAAATTTTGCTCCGTTTCCTATGACTGCCCCCCCCCCATTCCTTCATTCCTTCTCTGTTTTCATTCACTCCTGC